AGCTACAAAAATGAGCAATACAAAAAAACAATTAAAGAATCTGTGACTCAAAAACAAATGTCAATGAATAGATAATAAATAAATCAGATGTGAAGTCTGTAAATGTTCATAACTCTGAACATATGTCCATATATAAACAGCAATAGTGATAAATATTTATTGTTCCTTCACCAAATACACCACATGCACCACACCAGATATAGGGGTGCTCACCCTATTGATAGACCCCAACAAAAGGTGAAATCAGGCAATTCCCTTCTTAACCACTTCCACTCTCCAATAACTACTTTAAATAACTGTTAGGATAATCGTTAGTCTTATTAGTATACATATCTAAAGAACTTCTGACTAATAATGAACTTCTTAGCAAAGTGCAGGCAGTGTGACATTTTTCCTATAGAGTCAATTTCTATATTTGCATATATTGATGTTATAACTCACGGAGGGACCAATATGTAAAACCATGCATTCTTATGAGTTCTACTGCCCAAACCCATGCTGGCACAGTCCCCTCCCCAGAGACCAGAAGTTCAGTGTCCAGAGTCAATTGCAAGTGCTTGGTGCCCTGCTCCTAAGGCTCAGCCTCGCTAGCTTGGCCCCTCCTTGATCAGCCTCCTTCAAAGATCTACACACTGAGTAACTTGGCTTTGTGTCCAAACAATGGGGTCAACAAATGCAAAAAAAAAGGGCCAAATGTGTAACCCTCTCTACTCTCTCCAAAAATCTTTTGACTGAAGTTGAGCTTTATTTGGCTTATGGTATTTTCATCATTTGTGGAGTTGCTGTTTAAATGAACATGCTGTTGATCTATATGTTGTTGTCGATTCCCTTTCAGTTCCGTTGCTGTGGAGTGAAGAATTACACTGACTGGCTGGAAATGAGGAACAGCACTACTGTGCCTCATTCTTGCTGCACAGAGCACAGTGCATCCTGCCAGAGCAACCCCGGCACTTGGTGGACAGAGGTGAGCCTCTTATGCTGTCAGCAGCATAACTAGATTCTTAGTAGAGTTTTTTTTTTATAATGCAAATGAAATAAAGCGTTTTCCTGCAGGTGTGCATAGCCAGAAGTGTTTATTCAGCCTGTTTCCATATAGGGACATTAGCATTCAAGCCTCAATACAGAAGCTGGCTGCCACATTTAGGAGGGTCCACTAGCATAAAATGTTATACGGCAGAGGAGTCTGTGTTCAGTCTATGTTCACCTCCAGTACCTCATTATAGGCTAAACAGGAGCCCTTGGCTGAGTCTCGCATTAAAGCCCATCTCTAAACACTGAGATCAGCATTGATGTTTACTCAACAAGCTGGTCATGCAGACCTCTAAACCATTGGATTGTGCCTACGTGTCTGCCAGTCCTCTGATATCTGCAGCCACCTTACGAAAAAACAATGCAGCCTGCCAATGCTGGTCTGTTTCTGAAATCGCTAATGACCTGACTTTCGCTAACTTGAATTCATTGGGGGTGATTTACTAACCTAAACACACGCATGCACCAGGTGCGTGTGATTTTCACAGAGCAAAACGTATTTATCAACCAAAAAGTCTCTAAAAGCATATTTCCACTAATGCCATATATGTAAAAATCATGCACATGATGCATATATAATGCTGCTTCAAAGTTCAGACAAAAATGGTTAGCTCATGCATTTACATTCCTGCATTCATCAACTCAAGCAAGACAACATAGAGCTAATTTACACAACATCACCTTGCAATTCATGCAGGGCTTTGCACAACACACCTGCTGGGTGTGTACATACTACAAAGGTGTTTAGATTCCACCCATAGATCATGCTGGGAGGGAACACACTACAGAGGTGTATACATGTTCGTGGTGTGTTTATAAGGTTAGTAAATCAACCCCATTGAGTCACTGACATGGAACAAGCATGGATAGAGTCAGCTTCTGATCTGCATACATACCTGGTCACTGACGCAAAAAGTATTGAGGTTCAGTATAGAACACACATTTTTAGAAGGAAACATCAGCAATGGCAGCCTGCAGCCTCTGTACCACCCATGGAAATGTTACAATTCACTGGCATTAAATTGGCAATTAATAATACATGTGATTTTTTGCAAGCCCACATTTTTCCTGTCTTGGTTTTGTGTCTTTTTTTTGAATCTTTGAGCATTCCTGCAAGAATGACAGCAACATTCCCCAGATGACTTCCTAGAAATCAGATTTGTGTTAGTGAAGTTATTTATCACCCTTGAGTGTTGTCATGGTTTATAGATTATCCCACAGGCTTATGTTACTTGTGGATTGCCCTAAATCCATCTGTTAATCTTTTTTACTAACACGGCGTGAAGTGTGTGACTAGAGGTAGATTTGTGTCCCCATGCGGCCAGTGACCATAGCAATTAGCCATGAATCTCGCAGCACGGCAGACTTTGACCTTTTGGAAGCAGGAAAAAAAGGCTTTTTAAATTTACATTTCATCATTTATATTTTATATGTTAGAGCAGATGCCAGCACAGGAGTCTATTGATTAAAAAATGAAACAATGTATATACCGGCTGTAGGTGGGATGGTGAACTATAGCTGTAATCCATCACTGTGCTGAATAACTGATAACACAAAAATAAACACATTAGATGTGACAATAAATAATACATAAGCAGTGTTGCTTTAAAAAGTGGCATGATAGCAAAGCAGAATTGTTCTATTGTCTGCCACAAGCCTATGACTTTTCCGGCTGGTAGCTATTGGGGGAATAAGTCTTTGAACAATTAGAATACCCTTCCAAATCATTTTATTTTCCATGATAAGCCAGTACCTGAACTCTGCTCCCAGTCCCTCCCCTGTCCTTTGGCATAAGCATGTAAGGTCATGAAAAGCCAGCCCTGCAGGGTTGTGAAGCACCTTTCAAATAGTTTGACCTGAGGGTGGTTGGATTGTATATCCACAAGTGACAATTCTTGCATGTCTATGGCTACATGTAGATGGACATGAAGTGCTTGTGTTACCTTGAACGGCTTTCTGCCCTGCTTCCTGATACTCTCCTGGCCGGGCACGGCAGGAGGCACTTGGGACAGTAATGAAAGTCATTGAGCTGGTGTAGTCCCAACGTTGTATGCAGTGTTCCATCTGCACAATGAGAAGCAAAGCCCAGCAAATGTGATATGGTGTCCTAAACGATTTGTGTACCCATTGAGTAGCTGTTGTGGGTGAACACGAATGTGTGTGTAAAAGAGGTGTGAAAGAAGCCATTTATGTAAAAATGGAGAAGCCAAGCTTGAATAGGGATGGGGGGGGAGAACGGCCGCGAGGGGAGGGGGGGGGGGGGGGGGGGGGGGATGAGACATCTACTGTCTGCCACACACAATGCTGTTTTAACACATCTCTCTGGGCAGGTTATTAACACCTCCTAGCTCCGATTATGTAAATGAAACCGACACCTGGTTGCGACTAACAGATTATGTGGATTGGAGCAACATTCACCATATTTATTCCCAGATAATTTTTGTACAAGTCATTCTGAATTGAGAATGCTGGTTGGATGACCAGTAAAACGTCTTCAAAAAAAATACAGCAAGTCCACTTAATGACTTAATTTTTACAGATATACCATGACTTGGATTAATGAGAACCTTCACAGACATACAAATCTCTAGTTTTCAGGCTAAAGTTGATATTGGCCCTGCTGCCATGTACTTAGTGGCCTCACTAAACTATAGGAAGGATAATGAGGTAGGAAAGTTCAAGTTTGACCTTTTAGAAGAAGTCTTAATTTACATATACCTCCAGCTATGGGTCTGATGTTCTTTTTGACATATGGCTTACTGAAGATAATCAAAGTTTCTGCAACTATTTGGCTTATCTTCTGCATAAGAGAAGTCCATATTATGAACTATATAATATTGTTCACGAAGAGGAAGGTTTGTTTCGAATTTGTCAGAACAGGGAGCTCTGTAAGTATCTTGTTGGTTTAGTAAGTGCCGACTCTATTGTCTCTAATTTGTGCATCAGACACATCAATAGACTGCACAGCCGGAAGCCCCCGTGACACGCATAGGAGCAATTAGAGCCTGAAACCATTTTCTATCTGACTGTGTTTCTGGCTATGGATTGACTCTCCTTCCTCACACCTGAGGGGATTTCTGAATGTTCCTACCGATAAATAGCACCCTGCGTGCCCGGACTGCAGATTATTTACTTTGTGTGTTTCATTGTTGTCTGCCTTTCATTTCTATTTCCCTTTTCACTATTTGGTAGCACAAGGCAGTCAGTCATGCAGCTAGTGGACCATGTTCAGCCTTTATTATTATTCCTTGTATTTTTATAGCACTGACATATTAAGCAGCACCTTACAGGTTACAAATACGCACCAGTCTATACCCCTAAAGGAGCTTATAATCTTATTACATAGTTACATAGTTCCATAGTATTTGAGGTTGAATAAAGACATTAATCTACATACATTACACCTTCTTACACATATTTAGAAACTATTTTGTAAAGTAATGTGTGTACTCTTGTGGTCTGCTCTACTTCATTTGTGCTTAAGGTTTGTTCAGCACAAAGAACATGACATCACCAATATTCAGTTCTTCATACTCTCTTCCCTGTCCAACTTCTAGTCTGCTCTTACATTTTTTTTTACCAGGGCCTGCCATAGGTTATACTGTATGGTAAAAAAAAATCATCTTGCGCTTTCTTCTTTAAATTATCACCACTGAAGTTGACATCAAGGAAGTGTCCTTGGGCATTCACTTAAGTAGTTTTCTTCTGAAATGAATAGATATTTGAAGGACATTTGTAGCTTTCAGGGCCAATGCTGAAAAACCTTTAAAAATACCACATTTGCACATCACATCAGACAGCCCACAGGTACCTGTGGGCTGTGGACCCACAGGTACCTTGAGTGAGTCTGATCTGGTGGCCCATCTTTCTGTTTCTTTTTCTTCCTTCATTCTTCCATCCTTCCTCCTCTATCCTGCATCTTATATGGCATGTTCCTGACCTTACAAATACAGGTATATGCAGTGGTGTATTCTGGTTTGGGGCTGCCATAGGCAAGACAAAACTCAGCCCCATGGTGGGATTTGCAGGCTGCAGAGCACACTATGGATCCTGCAAAGCCCCCTTGAGACCCGACAAAGCCCCCTACGGATCCTGCAGAGCCAACCGAAGGGTATTGCACAGCACACCTGAGACTCTTTGGTGGGCTGTGCAGAATCTATGCTGGGCTCTGCCAGGACAGTCCTCTTACCTTGCACGGCCTGACCTCTTTGGAACACGGCCTCCTTGTCCTCGGCGCCCAACTGGACGGCCTCCTCGTCCTCGGCGCCCAACACTGCCTCCTTGTCATCTTTGCTGCCCAACTGGAGCTCCGACGACGCCTCCCACCTCCTCCATCGGTGTCTCTGCCCCCTCCATCTTCGCCCCCCCCACCTCTTCCGTCTCTGGGGTCACTCGACAAATTTTCTTCTCCCATGTCAAATTTCATACTATAAAATAAAATGTAACTGTATCCGGTATGGTACTACAGACACCAATATACACACAATAAGGCCCCATTCATATCTGTAGGTTTAGGTATGATTAGGGATTCCTGCATCAGAAACTTGCGTTTTACTGAAGCAGAAATCCCTAATCTGGCGTTTACACGCGGTAGCTATCACCCATTCAAGTTAATGATCAGGTGACAGCAGCTCCATATAAACGCCTGCACACCGCATGTAATGATACGTGATATGATTGCATGCGGTTAGAAAACACTCTCCCTGGACGCAATAATTGGGCATCCAGGGAGAGTGATTGATTCCTAACCGAATGTAAACATATCACGTATCATTACATGCGGTGTGCAGCCGTTTACATACAACTGTTGTCACCTGATCATTAACTTAGGTGACAGCTGCCACTTGTAAATGCCAATTTAGGGATTTCTTCTGCAGAAAAACGCAAGTTCCTGACGCAGAAATCCCTAATTGCACCTAAAATAAAAGTGTGAATGTAGCCTAATACCCCCCATACACATGAGAAAATACCCCCCACACTTTAACAATACATTATATATATATATATATATTGCCTGGTCACTGACATTTTTACTCCTTGTAGACAACTGTAATCTGACCCAAGCCACCATAATCAAAATGTGACCACTACACAATGGACACGATGACTAGAAGGACTTCAAAGGCCATTATGAGGACAGAAGAATTAAGTAGGCAATAATCGCTCTTTGGAAAGTTAATTATTTCTACCCTGAAAAGCAACCTTAGAACTTCCACTATAGGAAAAAAGTACATTATTAATCATTATATGGCAAGTAATGACCCGCCTCTCTGATTGGCCGCGAAGCCACATTTCCAGCCAATCAGCATCGAGCCAGCTGAACAGCCAGCTCCTTGCTGATTGGCCGGGGATGCGGCTTCTCGGCCAATCAGCATTGAGCCGGCTGAACTGGAGTTGAGGTTTTGATTAGGGTAATTTAGACTTGGGGGTCTAGTTATAATTTCTTTCACACAAGATTGACACAACTTTCACAAAGTATTACATCTTCTCTATTTAGTTTAATTTGGAAAAATGTGTGAATCCTGGGTGAAAGTTGTCTGAATCTTGCATGAAAGCATTTATAAATAGACCCTTTAGTATTTATGATATGCTAATAAATCCTCACTGCCAAACAGAACAGAGGTTGTCGGTAGTCTAGCACTTATAAAACTACTGACAATATGTTGCCTTTCTTTTGCCAACTCATTTAATTTTGCAGCCCAGGAAAACGAAACCATTTGGATTGGACCACATACATAGGATTGATTAGGTCAGTGTAGTCCCAGAAGGCTGAAATGAGACAGATTGGACCAGGCTGACTGCACACTGTGAATGGGAAGCCTGGAGATGTGGTTAATAGCAGCTTTAGGAATAAAGGAAGCTGGGAGCTGTGCAGCCCACCCTCTGTTCAGTTGTTTGCTACCCACGTCTGTACTGTGTGTGACTGTTGCTGATTATAGTGGCTCTTTCTCTCCCACGCTCATCTTCCCGTCAATATCACAACCTCTTGTCCCTGCTTGTTTGTTTAACCCATTTGTGGCATTTACCTTTTCACAAAGTCCACGATGATGTTGGAAGAGAAATTATTTACCAGATGCCCTATAGGCATTTTTATACAATGTGGATAATTTATTAAAACTAGAGATGAGAACACAAAAACTAAATTGAAGTTGTTGCCCTAGCAACTTGTTGGAATGTTTATTTTTTTCTTTAAATGAAAGCTCAGACCTGATTGATCACTATGGGCAATTATGTCCTTTTTGCTTTATTCTTTTTCCTGTTCTCATAAATCAATTTTATTAGGTAAGGGTAAGGTTTTACCAGGATAAGGAAGGTTAAACTTACCCATGAAACTTTTGTAACCTTTGTTTTGAGTTCTTATGTCCATGTACTGGAGAGCATCAGTTGGCCACTTTCATTGTCATTCACACACAAACCAGTTCTATGTTCATGTGTAGTATCTCTTTCCTTAATCCCCCCTGAGCATATGCATATCCAGGGGCATAAGATGTTGTCAAATGACACTTTTTTGAACTGTCCTAGTTTTATGATGAAAGAACGTGTCCAGTTGGCCATGCATTTACTGTGCAGTCTATAATTTGCAGACATATGCAATAGATATCCATGATGATCGAACTATTGGGTACTGAACTCTACTGTATGCTTATTGAGTATTATTTTTAGAATTATTTTGCTTTTCTTTTGAACCTTTTTTAGTAATTTAGCCCCAAATATATTCAGTGGAAGAGTATTTCTTGCTTGTAGCTCCCAAGTGATAGATGACAGTTGCAAACTTCAAAAATCCATATTATCGTTCTCAAAGATTCTGCAATGTGTCAGAAAAGCTTAGAGCTCATTGCCTTTTTCCTATAAATAGGAGAATGTACTCTTCACATGTACACTTCATTTAATTACTGCCGTGTCAGAAAAGTTGCAGCGGCTTCTGATAAAGCAATGATCCAGACAAGTGCAGACAGTCTGTTGCCAGCAGTTGTTCTTGCTTTTCTGTGCGGGAGCCCTTAAAGGGTCAGTCAACCTAATAGCAATGTTTTAATTGTAGCCTGGTCCATTGAGTCAGCTCTGGCTTCTTATGTGTCTTCAAAACCAAGATTCCCTGCCATACATCCTCTGTTCTGTACACAAGAGTTTTTGGTGTTATTGCCCACCTTTATGTGTTCTAGATCCTCCTTTGCATTCTGCACAAAATAAAATACCTAATAAATTCAGCATGGAGAGTGGGCACCTCTCCCAGAAGACTTGGCTTTGAAAGAATTTACTGTCAATAACAGTGAGATTTTGAGATAATGGGACCTGTTACACTTACAGTAACTCAACCACGTGATATCCTTGTTATATCATCAGTAAGGTAACAGCAGTCACACAAGACTAGAGATGAATGCAATATCATGCAATGTCGTCTGTGTTGAGGGATGGCCCCCGATGTTGAACAATTGGATGTTCCTGAGTGTTGTTAAGTATTTAGAAAAGGACATAGCCCCAAGAAAACTGCTCCCTTAGGGTAACAGTAGTCAATGAACAGAAATAATCCAACCCAACCAAAAGCCAGCAAGATCCACAGTTAGAGGTGTGTACAAAGGTCTGAAAGTGTTCAAGGACCATTCTAATCACCTAATTTTGCTGTATCATACTTACGGATATGCAGATGTAAATGTCAGAGACTAGGCTGAAATTGCAGGATGTAAGATTACGGTATGAGCAACTGCTTTGTTTTAACATGCACTCGTATCATTTTATCTGGTCTGTGCCCTAAGCAGACATCCCCAGCAGGTGTCCCATGATGAGGAAACAAGTTATTGGTGTTGAAATCCCACCCAGCCAACCACTCATCGGGAGTGTCTGCTCTGATATTAAAAATAGAATGGTATCCCCTTGCTATGTTTTTATGTCTGAGCATCAAAATAATTGTATGAAAAATGTTCATACCTAGAATTTTCTTATCATTGACCTTGATATCTGTTTTTCTGTATATTTTCCCAGCCGTGCTACCAGAAAGTGAAGAAGTGGGTTGAGAGTAATATTTCCTCGGTGGGGATCTTCGGCATATGCATTTTTGTTGTACAGGTGGGTTCTCCTATAAAGATTAAAATGCTATACTCTTTACTCTTTAGAACAGAATTATACAACTTTCAGCAGGGAAACCAGTTCTCATATGTGTATTTCAATTTTGAATTTAGCAGTTTTGTGCAAAGATGTGTACTATTGTACTTGAAAAGCTATTCGCCTACTTCCAGGATCTTGAGCCAGAATTCCAGTAGCAGACTTGTAGTGCATACACTCCAACATTTCGAGGGGAAAAATGAGTACAACTTGCCCAGCACAGCAAACCCACCCCTGGTTGGTGTAGATGACGCTTTGCTCTAAATCTTGGGTGAAGCTTAAAGCGATATGGCTAAATAGCTTCTAAACCTACTCACAGTATACACGGAAAAAGTTTTCCCATGTCCATGTACAAACAAAATATTAGGTAATTTTTGTGTTATAAGCACAAAGTCAATTCCATTACTTAGCTAAAGAAAAAATATATAACAATGTAGTGCTTCAAAATCAAACAATAGACACAATGACTGTGCTCATACACAAACTTCAACTTTAGAAACTATGTTAGAAACTTTACAACACAATGTATCCACTGAAAAGATTAATATCTGCAAATGCTGTCTCTAGTAAAGTGTGATTTCTCCAACATGTCAACAAATATCACCACACTTATAAACTCCTATTTTTGTGAAAATAAAGAATGTGATTTCTCCAACAAATAGCGCCCATTGCTGTAAACGTGTCCCAATAATCTTCAGGAGCCATATCACCGCTAATGTGAATAAAATAAACCTCCACGTGATTTTGCCCTCCTTCACTGTACGACCATAACTAAAATATTCTAGTATGGTCTGCAAAAGCATCCCCTCGTCTATGGGGTTAGTAGATGACCTTCAATGGTGTGTCTCAATCATTTATGAGAGTGGCAAATAAAATATAAAACAAGGAATAGCACATAGTGCAGCTCATTTTTTAACTTTAATAAAGAATATATAACAATACTACTCACAAAGAACATGAAGTTAAAAGCATTCCATCAATGAATGAGTTCCCGCTCCAAGAACTATACTCCGCATACAGATTGAAACAGTTCAAGCGCTCTCACTGTCTATAACTAAGGGAATAGCAGAACGTTCCACTTCTGGGAATAAAAAGTAAAAGAAACAGGTCACCAGCACTCGTTTAGAATAAATATGTCCTTTTTTAATGGACAATTGTGTCACTACAATCAACAGGCTCTGTTGATTGTAGTGACACAATTGTCCATTAAAAAAGGACATATTTATTCTAAACAAGTGCTGGTGACCTGTTTCTTTTACTTCGTATTTTGCACGGTGCCATCCGTGATGGTCATTGCGAGCACCATCGTTCTTATTTGGCCAGGACTGCTGTAAGGTGTGCGGAGAGGACCCCCACCACCTGAAAACCACTTCTGGGAATGACGATTGCCTCCACTCTACATGTTACGTCCCTCAGACTTCATCAGGGGTGTTACCATAGTGCTAGTCACACATTCCATTACATATGCTTTCTGTCTGAGCTTACCTTAAAGTAGAACTTCAATAAAACATTGACACAATAACTTTGGTCAGGAGTTTTTAATGTAAAGCGCAGCTTTAAAGAAGAACTCCAATTTTTTCATAACCCTTGCAGTGGGGCTACCCCCGCACTGCAAGGGTTAAGTGCTCGTTTGTGTCTAGGTGCTCAAATAACTATACTCACCTGAAGCACCTAGCCGGCCAGCTGTCACAGCTCTCCCTCCCCCTTCCTGCAGCATTGGGATCTTATTCAGTGTCCTCACGTCTATCTATACACGGTGTATAGAAGTTGATTTACGGGACCAGCTTTGGAAGGACTGGTCTAGTTCTGCATGATCAAGGGGATCCTACATGACCACGAAACGTTGCACTAAGTGTGCTAGGCTACTTCTTTTGCATGTACGTCAATAAATAGACGTACTATACCTGCTGTTGGAGTGCCGGTGTCCATAATCTTTAGTCTAAGGAGAAGCCGGCTCGGAAAGTCAGATGAGTAACCTTTTTTTTTATGTAGACCCAAACGAGCACTAACCCTTGCAGTACGGGAGTTGCCCCAATGCAAGAGTTAATAAAATTCCTGAAGATCTTCTTTAAAGAACAAAAATACTAGCGTATAGTAGGGTGCTAGAGTACAGCGATATTGACTATGTAACATATGACATGCCAAACAGATTTCAGGGATCAGCCCCCATTTCAATAATGTCCCCTTCAGACCTCACATTAGCCCACTACGTCTTTCAACTGCCGCCCTCTCTCAGAGTCAAGATTAGTCACCCCGATTTCTTTCAGCCTACAACCCCTCTTAGACCTCGGATCAGTACCCCTATTTCTTTCAGCCTCCAATCCCCCTCATACCTTAAATCAACCCCCTTATTTCTTTCAGCCTCCAGCCCCCTGAGACTTCAGATCCACCCCCATATTTCTTTCAGCCTTCTGCCCCCCTCAGACTTCAGATCAGCCCTCATACTTATTTCAGCCTCCAGCACCCCTGAAGACCTAAGATCAGTGTGGTGCCAGAGAGAGACCACTGAGGGAGTCTATCCCAGACTTTCCCTGTGACTCTGAGTCACTTGACATTTTCATCACATTATCAGTCGTATGTACATGGAGCTAAACCCAGTACTAACCAGTAGTGGCCTGTAGATCAAGTATGTATGTTCAGTACTGCACCAGACATTGTGTATATGTCTGGTGCAGTACCAGTTCTGAACATACATACTATATATAATACAACATAGTATTATATGTTGTATTATTAGTCCTGACCATACTAAATCAAATCTGAACTCCAGGCCAATAGATTCCTCAATATCCCCGAGGAGAGAGATGGTGTAGAAGTTTTTTCACAGTGAATTATTGTACAGATCTGGAAGAAACACACCAAGATTCAAGTGAGAAAACACATGGCTCTTGTATTTAGACAATGTTTGATTAGCTCGGAGTTCAGCTTATTACAAAATTTGCAATATATTTCCTTTGAACTACAATGTACATGATAGCATTACTAAATTGATTTTACTACACCAGTTGTTGTAAATTAGACAATCATTGTGAATATCTAATATTATCCATGTCTGTAACTCTTCTGCATTTTGCCTTTTGAGTGTGGACTGTGTTTTAGTTTTGTGTACTTAGAAGCACTGACTGGAAGTAAATCTTTTTGTTCTTCTTTCCTTTGTTAGGTGTTCGGTCTGATCTTCTCTATGTTGATGTACTGCCAAGTTCTCAAGGCGGAAAAGTATTATGAATAATCCCAGATGTTTGCAAGTTTTTAAGATGATCCAGAGGCTGATGTTCCACTTTCCAGAGTGAATGCCATCTTTGTCTGCTGGATCAAAGACTGTTTCTTCATGCTTCTCGGGCCCTGTATGGTTGTTCTCGGCTACAGTCCTCTGTACAGAGACCCATGTCCGTTTCTGTTCACCTTACCTGCTGACTGAACCATTACCATTGAAAGTATCTCCTACATATTAAGATATACAACGCTGACTATATCATAGCAGCTTTTGTAAGGCAGCTTCAGTATCTATACAAAGCCTTTAAATTCTGCTCACAGCTGAATAAGAACAGTCTACTCCACTCTTTTTTTTAAAGCACTAAAGCCATTTAATGAAGTTTGACCAGTTAGATGGAACTATTGTGACCTGAAGACATCCTAGAATAAAAATGAATGGCTCTGCCAAGCACATGCCTCGCAAAGTTTAATGGGACCATTGTGAACTGAAGACATCCTAGAATGATAATGCATGGCTCTGCCAAGCACATGCCTCACAAGGTTTGTTAGACATAGCACAATGTTTTCAATCTGAGATACTGAAATGGCTACATGGGAATTGCCAAAAACAAGTCATTATCAGTGCTAGATTCGTCATCTTTTAAATGGTGTTAACTCTGCACCTGCAAAAAAAATGGTTTTAGCATCGCCCTCTCGCTGAGCTCACTGCAGCCTCACCTAAACACACACTGGAACATAAGGTTACATAGAATCAAGAAACAACATGCTATAGTCCTATCCAGAAACACATGGAAAAGATGGCAATTATGGCTGCAGTGGATTGAATCAGGGGAGTGAATTTTCACACAGCTGCAATGCTTCCTGGATGTCAGTATTTTGCCTGTGTCAAGAGTGGAATGTATGTAGGACATATGGTTTTATGGCTATTCCTCCAAGTATATTATACACTTTTGTGGTCAAATTACAATCCTTTCAAATCCATGTGTGCCAAAAGTGATCTTGCGAAACTGTGGCAATTGGGAGGTTGCAGAAGCAAGAACTTGTAATTGGATTTGGCCAAGCAATCTCTTATCAACTGCCACATGGCAGCTTCTGTGAAAGATCATCTTCTATCTTCAGGCATTATAGCCAATCAGTATTAGAATGTTTTAAAACCTATTCTAAATGCATTTATTCATATTCTCCTAACCCACCAATGGACATGTGTACTTCATTTTATCTATATCCCGGTAAGAGGATGCCCAAGGTAAAGATGTCCCAAAAACATTGGATCTGCAGTGTGTGTGTGGTCAATATTGACTCCTCTGCCCCGATGGAGAACTTGAGCTAAAGCTGAACTGTTCGCTAATAATGTTTTAAGCTCCTTTAGCACTTTTGTTGCATTTTGTTTGTGGTGCCAGTCTTTACAGAGTAACTTCACCAGAAAGTGTGGTAGGGCAATGTTTGATCCCAGCTTGGTTTTACTACTGTTTGAGTTTGTAGCGTGACAGTCTTATGCCACCTAACATAATATGGACAGATTGAGTGCTTTGCTTTTTCAGATGAGTGTCTTTTGTCATGAGTCTATGGGGGTGATTTACTAACCTAAACACACACACACACCAGGTGTGTGTGATTTTCACACAGCACAACTTATTTATCAACCAAAAAGTCTCTAAAAGCATATTTCCACTAATGCCATATATGTAAAAATCATGCACATGATGCATATATAATGCTGCTTCACAGTTTAGACAAAAATGGTTAGCTCATGCATTTACATTCCTTGCATATATCAACGCAAGCAACACATCATAGAGCTAATTTACACAAGATCACCTTGGAATTCCTTCAGGGCTTTGCACAACACACCTGCTGGGTGTGTACACATTACAAAGGTGTTTAGATTCCACCCATAGATCATGCTGGGAGGGAACACACTGCAGAGGTGTATACACGTTCGTGGTGTGTTTATAAGGTTAGTAAATCAACCCCTATGTTTCTATGCCGAATCCACTAGAGTATTCACGATATGTATTTATGGCACAAGTGACTTACTTGTCATCTAATCTGTTAGCCTACCACAGTGATGTTAACGGTGACAAGAGGTCTGCCTTGTACAGCAGCAAATACCCAGCAGGGACTCAAACTTTGCATTCTCCACTGAAAACTATGAAGTGTTTTTGGGGTAGTCCTGCTTGAATCCAGTTACGTGGCTATATAACATTGCAGCTTCACCCTGGATTATACATTCAAAGTTTTCAAGATGTATACTTCTATACTGTCATAAGTATATAATAAAAAGAAGTGTAGTTGCCTCTGTGGGAAACCCCCTGGCAGTGTAGAGCATAATATAAGGGCATTAGCATGCTTTTTCAGTTATTTCCATATGGTATTTTGTACAAACTAAGTTTGCCTTGCTTTAAGAAGAGTTCAGATCTTTTGAAATGTATATTTTATTTGTTCTTTTTACTGAAGTGTAAATTTCAAGAGGTAATCCTTTGTCATTAAAGAATATCAAAACCTGTTTAGTTTTGCACTGCAGTGGACTTCCCTATCTCTTGGAACCCCATTGTTCTGCTGATTAAGAGCTAAAATTCAGAAGACCGCTTAAAAAATAAAATCTACACAAGAAGCAATATACGGTAATCAGCTTCGGGAAATACTTTGCATCATTTATCCATTTTCTTTAATGCTCATTCGGGCTCTTAGAGCATCCACTGTGGCCTGTGGAAAACATCTGCATTTTGCTTTTTTCCTATTGGAATAGCATGGAATTCTGTGCCTGAGTAAAAGTAATTCTGACAGATAAAGATGAACAAACAGTAAATGGCTATTTGCTAGGCTCACTGGATAGCTCAAAAGCCATTACATTCAGAATGATTGATAAGTAGATGCCACCAGCACACCAAAAGTACTGTAATCCAAAGTGCTCATTTATTTAAAATGTCATGTCATCAGAACATGAACATTGTTCTGATGACATGACGTTTTAAATAAACGAGCACTTTGGATTACAATACTTTTGGTGTACTGGTGACATCTATCTACCAATATTGTCTGGTGGCGCCATCCGCAGTCATTACAAACACCCCCCTCGTTGAATTTAGGTTTTCTGGTAAGGAGTGCAGCAAGGCAACTCTACATTTGATCGTTAACCCAGATACCAAGGATAACTTGCCACAAACTTGTGGCAGGGTAAAAGTGTAATTCTTGTTAACTTGCTGCACACATTCCTGGCAGGTTGTAGATTTGCAGAACATTTGCAGCACAAGTTCTAGTTGACACTTTTTGAATTTGTAGCAAATTTGCTCAGCAAGCCTACAGCAAGAGTCCTGCAGGTCTTAGCAAGAGCTCTGCAAGTGTACAGCACGTTGATCTGGAGACTTGCAATGCAGACTTGCGGTAATTGTGCAACAAAATTGTGAAGCTTGGCAATTCTGCAATAGTTTAGCAAGTCATTTTCAAACTTGCAGCTCAATTGCTTGCTATTTGGGAACTAGACACCAGCAAACATTCAAGCCAAATGGTTGGAACATCTGGCCATTTTGTGACCAGGGATTTCCCCTACTTCCTGTCCCTTTGACACAGGATAAAAAATTAGGGAAATGGGGGTCACCAGGAGGGAAATGCATGGACAGCAACGGAAACATGAAATAGATTTCATCTCTTCCCCACTTCACTAAAAATACAACATTTCTTTTAGAATGCTTCTGTACTTACTGAAGATATTTCCTATCGCTTTGTTTCCTTCTGACCCGTCACCTGGAAAGAAATTTAGCCAGAAATCTCTCTCATGGGGTCACAGACAAAAAAAAACTGTGAGGTTTTAACCATTCCTCACCCCAAAAACTATTTTTCTGCAGTTGGGCAAATATAGGAGGGGGCAAATACTGTTTCAATTAAGGTATAGTTATGCTTTAGCAGCAAAGACCATAGGCCTTTATCCTAACTTAAGTAAGTTTACCCGATTGTCTATTCTATATAATTAAAACCAAAGCTATGTTTAAAGCTTTAACCATTAACCAATTTTATTGATGTGACATGTGGAGAAAGGATATTAGCCATACTGCACAGCACAAAGTACAACTACTACTTTATGATTCCCTTAAGTGTAAGTTACTTTTAGCTCAAGCTAAATACAGATCTCTAATATACCCCACATATAAAAAAATTGTTCGACAAACATATGCAATTGAATCAGGTGAATGTACATGTTTGTGCCTATGAAGGAAGGAGATGAAGCACTCTGCAGATAACCCTGGCCCTTGCCTATCTTAGTGAAATACAACTGCGACTGGCTGGAAAACTCAACTCATCTGATTGACTCCTAACGTAGGAAGGGGGTCAGGGGTAGCATACAGAAAAACATTTGTGTCTTATTATGACCAAATTGGATAAAGTTGATCTTAAGTCTGTAAGCACCTTCGTGGCTTGTGTACATGGGCATTTCTTTGTGCCAGGGCTGCTTTTCTTCCAAGAAAGGGTAATGGGAATGCAAAAGCAACATAGAAGGTGGTCACAAGCCCTTAGACATGCCCATGAGGCTCCTTTATAATACCAAAGGTCTTTGTTGTCCACAGCTATCAATCAGAATCAACATGCAGTTCTTCTGTAGCTGGGTAGAAATGAAAGGTGTCATCTGATTGGTTGTTCTGGGCATGTGCCCTTTTATAACTCTGCCCCAGATTGTATATATTGGCCCCTGTGTGTTATCAGCTGTAACCTGTGTACATAACATATACAGGTGAAACTCGAATAATTAGAATATCGTGCAAAGTTAATTTATTTCACTAATGCAACTTAAAAGGTGAAACTAATATATGAGATAGACTCATTACATGCAAAGCAAGATAGTTCAAGCCGTGATTTGTCATAATTGTGATGATTATGGCTTACAGCTCATGAAAACCCCAAGAACCCCAAATCCACAATCTCAAAAAAGTAGAATATTACATGCAATCAATAAAACAAGGATTGTACATAGAACAATATCGAACCTCTGAAAAGTACAAGCATGCATATGTACTCAGTACTTGGTTTGGGCCCCTTTTGCAGCAATTACTGCCATTACTTTTGCACGATATTCTAATTATTCGAGTTTCACCTGTATTATACATCATGTATTTTGGATTTTTTTCTGATTTGAAGTTAGCTTGGAGTGTAAATATTACTGGTAACAGAGCACAATGAGGGGAATTTATCAGAACTGGAAAAGACAAAATCTGTAGCAGCTGCGCATGGCAACCAATCAGC